CTAAGGATAATTTCTACACCCTCTGGGTTATGCCTGTGGAAACCTTTACACTCCAGGCACTCGGGCAAGTGCTGGAGATACAGGGAGAGGGCCAGAGGGTCCGGTGACACAGGCCTCCGTCCTGGAACAAACTTCTAACTCTCATGGCTGTCGACAGCCACCTGCTCAAGTTCACAGACTCCCACAGAGCACCCCTCCCTCTGGTGACTGACTGCTGCAAAGGCCCTGGACACTCTCTCCCAGTCCCCCTCAGGAGTGCGAACCCAGGCCCCAGGGGTGAAAGGTCTTGAGGATGACTCTCAGCTCAGGCACCAGCCAGTTCCCAGGCTACCAGTGTCGGGTGGCTGCCTGAGTCCCCAGCGGGTCCAGAGACACCTCACCTCCAGTCGCTCTCATGTGGAAACCACTTGTTGGCTGAAACTACTTCTCCCATTTGGGTGAATTTTTCTCTAAATCATGTTATATTTTCCTGCTGCCAGTCGTGGTCTGGGCTATCTCCAGGCATCCACATTTTTTTTCATTAAATTTGAATCATCAAGAGAAAAGGTCAAAATCTGAGTCGTTTTCCTTCCAAGAAATCACTAGGTATCTAACCTCCAAGCTCCAAGCTCCAAGCTCCCCCAATCCCAAAAGTATGTGGGAAGCATATCACACCCCCTCCCAGCCCTGGCTCACCCCAAACTCCCTGTTACACTCTTCCCCACAACCACACCCCCAGGAAAAGTGCTCTTCCAAAACAAAGAGTCTCCCCCAAAGGTCAACTGACTTGTCTAAGGACAGAGAGTGCTCACTAAATATAGGCCCTTGCACACGCCCACGTGCACACACGGGCGTGTATACATGTATACTCCTACCAGGCACTCCAAACCAGAGTGCTCACGACAAGGAAGAGCGAATTCCAGATTTTTCCACGTTGAGGATGAGGGTGTGACAACTCACTCCTCACCCCCGTTCCAGGGCATTCCTTCCAAGTCCTAACGTAGGTTTCACGAGTTGCTCTGGCCTCCAGATTTTCCAGATTCCATTTTCCGTCTGTAGCCTGGGGTCCCCAGCCTGCTCCTTTCTCCCTCTCGGGCCTGCTGGGAGGATGGAAGAGAGTGGGGTTTCTGTGCCCTCACCTCCAGGACTGAGCGATGTACCCTGTCGACAATTCCAAGACTGGCTCTCAGAGGACCAGAGACAGAATTTTCTCCAAGGAAGGCTGGCTCACTTGTCTACATACAGAGTGCCCCAGTGCCCCAGCTCTTCTGAAGCAGGGGTAATGAAAAATAAGTATGGGTGCTTGGGATGGTTAGTTTTATGTGTTAACTTGGCAAGTCTGAAGGTATTTTGCAGATGTGAATGACATGTACCACCCATTAACTTTAAATAAAGGAGATGGTCCTCAAAGGCAGAGATGGGCCTCATCCATTCAGCTGAAAGTCCTTAAGAGCAAAACTTACTCAAGTGTGTCAAGCAAAACCCTACACTGACAATCAATTGTTTGCAGAGCTGATGTTTTCTAACATCTGTTTTAAGAATTTTAATTTTTTTAATTCTAATTTGTTATACATGACAGCAGAACGCATTACAGTTCATATTACACATATAGAGCACAATTTTTCATATCTCTGGTTGTCCACAATGTAGAATCACACCATTCGTTTCTTCATACATGTACTTGGGGTAATGATGTCCATCTCATTCCACCATCTTTCCTACCCCCATTTACCCTGCCTTCCCCTCCCTCCCCTTTGCCCTATCTAGAGTTCATCTAATCCTCCCATGCCCCCTCAACCACATAATGAATCAGCATCCTTAAATCAGAGAAAACATTTGGCATTTGGTTTTTGGGGACTGGCTAACTTCACTTAGCATTATATTCTCCAGCTCTATCCATTTACCTGCAAATGCCATGATTTTAGTCTCTTTTATTGCCAAGTAATATTCCATTGTGTATATATGCCACATTTTCTTTATCCTTTCATCCACTGAAGGGCATCTAGGTTGGTTCCACAGTTTAGCTATTGTGAATTGTGCTGCTATAAACATTGATGTGGCTGTGTCCCTGTAGTATGCTGTTTTAAGTCCTTTGGGTGTAGACCAAGGAGTGGGATAGCTGGGTCAAATGGTGGTTCCATTCCCAGTTTTCCCATGAATCTCCATATTGTTTTCTATATTGGCTGCACCAATTTGCAGTCCCACCAGAATGTATGAGTGTGCCTTTTCCCCACATCCTTGCCAACACTTATTGTTGTTTGTCTTCATAACAGCTGCCATTCTGACTGGAGTGAGATGGAATCTTAGAATAGTTTTGATTTGCATTTCTCTAATTGCTAGAGATGTTGAACGTTTTTTTTTTCATTTATTTCTTGATTAATTGTATATCTTCTGAGAAGTGTGTTTTAAGATTCTGAAGTTTAAATCTGCTCTTTTTCATTGCCCATGCTGACATTTTCACCAGGCTCTCCTTGGTTAAGCTGATACCTTGGCTTATTTAATCCAAAAGCACAGCTATGTCTTTAAAGATCCTGAGGACCAACTTATCACACCCTATTTCTCATCCTCCCTTAAGGAATAGCAAGTAGCTGTTCCTGTTGTGAGAAGTCTGACTCTCATAAATTGGGTCAAGAAATTTTTTCATGCCAAGTCAACATATTATTTATTTTAAAACAATAAAGAAACCAAAAAAATAAATAAATAAATATCGGTTGGTCTGTGTACTTAAACATAGTTGAAATCCGGTTGGTTCAAGATTAGAAAATAGGGCTGGGGATGTGGCTCAAGTGGTAGCGCGCTCGCCTGGCATGCGCGTGGCCCGGGTTCGATCCTCAGCACCACATACAAACAAAGACGTTGTATCCGCCGAAAACTAGAAAAAAATAAACATTAAAAAAAAAATTCTCTCTTTAAAAAAAAAAAAGATTAGAAAATAATTGAAGTGTTTGCTTTGCTTATTGCTGAGCAGCCCAGAAATGCTGTAGTTGAAATGCGCTGGACTTTGGGCAAGGCACTGGGGGGAAAGGTGAAGTTTCCTGGAGGAGGCAGGAACCCCTGGTGGAGGGCCGCACTCCTGCTTGAGCAGTCCCCAGACTTCGGCCTCCCCCAGCGGCCCCCGCTGCAAAGCCAGGTCCTACGTCAGCCAGTGGGTCAGCAGGCTCCTGGTTCTGTTTAAGGACTTGCTGTCTTTAGGATCTGCTGGCAGAGGCCCAGCTTGAGTTGTGCAGTCATCTTGAGTCACAGTCGCAGTGACTGTCCCTGAGTTGTCCCACTCTGCTTTCCCCACAGAGTTTCCCAGAATGCTACCACCTGGGCACTTTCTGTGACAGGGCTCCCGGCTGCCATGCTGGGCACCAGCTCACGGTCCAGAAGAGAAGCAGCAGCGGGGTGGCCGGGTGGGAGCCGCCATGCAGGTGCAGCAGCCTGAGGCGCTGGCAAAGGCGTGCTGACCTGTCACCCTCCGGTGGCCAGGCCAGGACACTCTACAGTCGCCGGCTACAGAAGCCTGCGCCACGCCGAGCTGCAGCCGGGAACCAAGTCCCTGGACCTGGGCTTCCTGACCTGAGGAGACATTGCAGTGCTGCAGACTGAATGGAAGCTGGGACTGAGAGTCGACCAATAGCGTCGGTGCGTTTCCAACCCCTAATGGGTATAAATGTTTTAAATAAATAGGGTAAAAAAAAGCATTGGTCCTTTTTTCAAACCCTAATTAGCATAAGTTTGGACCAATAGCAGTGACCCAGGTGCCATATAAACCCCAGCGCACGCGGGCCGTGGAGAATCTGATGTCGGATACCCGCTTGCTGTAGGAGAGTTCCTTTGGTTATGTCGATCTGCTGCTTGTGGCCACTGGGTCTCTGCAGTGCTGAAGGACTTAGCGCCCCAGTGCGAGCTGTGACCCCGCCTGCCGTCAGAGGAGCTCCAGTTTCAGCTGTCCGCAGAGGTGGAAAACTGAGTTTCGTCTCAAGCTTTGGTTTCCCTTGGGGCTTTCTGACTGGTGCTGGCATTGTTGACGCCAAGAGGGTCCCTGACTCTTTCTCATATGCATTTGCCGAGTACCAGGCATGACCAACTGCTGCGGAGACTGACCGACAGGGCTTTGTCGGGCCAGCGGAGGCCACAGTAATCTGATGTTCTATTAGAATGAACTAGGGCCACTTTTTAAAGCTTACCAAAACGCGGTCTTGCAGAGGTGCTGATGTATTCACGTCTGATTGTCCTCCGGAGGTACCACAGAGGGCCTGGGCAGCAGGAGGAGCTCCGTCTTGGAGTGCTGACCAGGACTCTTCGGAGAACATTTGTAGGAGGACAACATGCCTGAGTCACTCACACACCTGTTCGTGCCCACGGCTCTAGCCAGGTAACCCCGAGTGGGTAATGTGGCTTCCAGGGACACTAGGTAGGGGCTTATTACCCTAGAAGGAGCCAAGATGCAGCAGCACCATGTCTGGGCTCCTCAGCGGAGCCTGGCTGTAGAGCAGGTCAGCTGACGGGACACTGAGTCTAAGCTCAAGTCTCAAGACCTCACTCCGTGGTGTTGAGCAGACCCCATGACGGGTGGAAAGGGAAAGGAAGAGCGAGACCCAGTGCTCAACTCGCGAGTCACTGTGGTGACTGTGGCCAGGGCAGGAGTGAGACTCATCTGCACGGGGTCCCTGGAGGATTTGTTGTGTTCCTCTGTGCTGCACAAGTCGCTTCGGAGCCGGCTCTGAGGTCACCACCAAAACATTGCCTGAAATAAATCCCTGAACCTCAACCCGAGGAGTCTATCCAACAGCTGTGGGGTGGGCCCAGGAATCTGTGTCTGCCAGGGCTCCTGGTGCCCCCAGGCACTTCCAAGGAACTGTGCTCTGGCAACCCCGTCTCCATTTAGTATTACCAGCCACGGGGAACTAACTGGTGCCACCAGCATGTTCCTGTCCGCCCCCCTTGACTTGCTCCTGTGTCGTGGGACACTCTCTGAGCTGTGCCTCCCAGCCAGTCCCACACTGACCCTTCAACACACACACACTTCACACCAATTCAGCTCAGCAAATGTTTATTGGGCACCTACAAGAGTTAAGGTCTACAGTACCAGGTGCTATGGGGCACACAGACGGGGAGGCCAGGCCTCACCTGGAGAGCTGGACAGTCCAGTAGGGGAGATCCTCAACAGGAGGAGAGGCAGGACCAGGTGAGCTCTGGGGCTGGGGTGGGAGATCAAGCAGGCCGGCTCGGATGGTCAGTGTGGGCATTGCGGTAGTCCTGGGAGTTGAGCAGGACTCAGAGGTGGACTGGAGCCAGGAGGACACCTGAGTTCCAGGGAGGTGAAGAGTACAGTGGCTGCTCAGGAACAGGGAGCCACCTGCCTTGGCTGGAACGGGAGGCTGCAGGGCTAACAGGGAGCCAGACTGGAGAGCAGGCAGAGGCCCGATGGTGGACCTCATTGTGCAGGCAGAGGTGAGCCACAGAAGGCTTCTGAGCGAGGGAGTGATGTGATCTCAGGTCCTCATCTCTGGGCACACAGCTGTGAGGAGCATATTTCTCTCCTTTGCTCTGGACTCTTGGCACAAAGCAGACACAAGCCTGGGCCTTGGGCCTCCACCTTCCTGGGCTGCCCAGAGCTAGGAAGCAGTGGCCTTGCTAGGTGATGGTCAAGCTCACTCACAGTTTGCACCCTCCGAGAGAAGGAAGCTAGGCGGACAGCGGGCAGGGCACAAGGAAGGCACGCAGCAGACCTCAGTCACCTAAGCAGGGCAAGGATGCGCTCCAGGAAAACAGGAGAGCCAAAACCACGGAGCAGCGCGAGATGCCAAATCCACATCACCAGCTAAACCCTCCCCAGGGGGCTTCCGTGAGACCTCCCGCCACCCTGCCGCCCCCACCGGCAGGCGGGACCTGCAGGATGGCCCACTGGGATCAGAGCAGGGCTTCTAGGTGCTCTACTCCTAGGGGACTCTGCTCACGGAGGCTCCTTGGACACTGCCTAACTGTCCAGAGAGGAGGGGGAGTGGCGCCCACCCCCTCCAGGGCCACCCCAGCCTGGGAAGGGATGTGAGGCCACCGCGGTCCAGGTGGACACTGCAATGCTGGTCAGTGAGGGCTCCCCCAGGACCTCCACACCAGCTGAAGCTGGAGCTTGGGTGGGGAGCCCGGAGGCGGGTGAGGTCACGGCTGGGTTGCCAAGGAGAAAGGCTCCCGGGGTGCTGCCATGAGCCTCTGCGCCTGACCCAGCAGGGCCCCCGGCTCCATTGCTGATGGTCCACAGGCAGGGATAGGAGCTGCAGAGGGGAGAGAGAGACCGTCAGATGGCGCCCCAGGGAGGACTACCACAGGCAGGAGAGGGCTCTGGCCATGCCTGCTTCCAGCAGTGGCACAAACGGGCCCCGCTTGTGCAGAAAATCCAAGAGACGTCACGAGAGGTAGTGGCATGAAATTAGTTGTCCTGACACTGAATCACGGTGCTCGCCTGGCCCCTGGCAAGGTGTTCCATTCTCTGGTCTCACCTGCAGCTCATATAAAGCAGGCAGGACCATGCAAGGAAGGATTAGGACCTCAGACTCTGTGAGAATGGTCCCTCCCTGGCCAGGAGTGGCCGTGTGGCCGACCACGGCTGTTGGAAGCACTGGGTCTGAATCCTAGCTCCACCTCACGTGAGCCCTGTGACCTCGAGCAGAGTGGTTAGTAACTCTGAGCGTCTGCTTCTTCAGCTTCAACGCTCGCAGTGGTATCTTACAGACCTGAGAGGCTGTTGCAAGGATTCAACGAAAAGGTGAGTATATGGTGCCTGGCACGGGACACTCAGTAAACAGTGGTAGTTATTATGACGTCTCTTTCTGGTCTCCACCTGTCAGCTAGGGTCCCTGGCAGGAAGCCTGAGGCTAACCACTTCTTTGCCATCTCTACTTCTACAGCACTGGTTCAAGACTTGGTTGCACATTGGAATCACTCAGTGAGTTTAGAGATGGAAAAAAGTTAGATGCCCGGGCACCATCCCCTGGAGATTCTCACCATGGTCTGGCACGCAGCCTGGGTATCGGGAATTTTTAAAGCTTCCTTGTTGATTGTACCATGCAGCAAAATTTACATAATAATAATAGAGAACTCAGGTGCACGTGACTGAGTCAGAGCTGTAGGGTGACTGCCAGTGTGCTGAGCCTTGGGCGTGGCTCTCTGCCCACTGCTTAGAGCTCCTGTGTTGAGGGCCACAGCCGAGTTGGGATGACGCATGGCATTTGCCACATCACGCATGGCATTTGCCACATCACGGGGAGGGGTTGTTGATCATTATGCTTATGACTGTTCCCACTAAGATTTCCACGTTGATCCTCAATTTTACGCCTATCTTGACTCCTACTGGGACTGGAACGACAGGTTCGTCTCTCCCTCGAGTGACTTCTACTTCTACGTCTCTCTCAGGAAGGACTCCGATTTTGTCGTCTTTCTCTTTCAAGGCTACTTCTATTAGATCTTCCCCTATCTCTAACCTTATTCCTAGCCCTATTGCTCTCTATTTTAATTCTGCGAGAGTAGCTTCTACTTCTGCTACGTCTAGCTTTAGTTGTTGGAGATCTACTCCTACTATGTCTCTTTTTCCTTTTAGGAGAAGAAGACTGAGAAGATGTGCGACTACTACCTGAGTTAGAACTGTATGAAGAACTAGAGACAGTACTACTAGTACTACTAGTTCTGCTATTGCTACTGGAACTACCACTACTAGAACTTCCTGATCTACTCCTTCCTTGTTTCTCTTTTTCTTTATGCTCTTTTTTTGGTTCTAAAACTGACGTATTTTCATTCGGAGTTCTTTTCATTAACCAGATCACCATCTGCTTCTCTTGCTTCTAGCAGTGATGAACTATTTTGCTCTTTATGGATAAATTCATTCATCTCTTTTGCAACCCTTTCTGTTTGTTTGCGGCACTCCTGCCTTGCCTGAGGTGGCCCACCTTCCTTGATGGGTGGACTCCAATGATACAGTCCAGATTTGAAATTGAACGATGGGACTTGGTGAGACATTAGATGGCCGATTTTAGGTCTGCATAAAGTGGAATGTGACACTGCTGGTCCCACCTCAGTGTGTTAGAATCAGCTGGGGTAAATAAATGCAGAGCCTGGCAGTAGGTCTGGGCTGGGGCCTGAGATGCTGCATTTCTGACTGGTGCTCCTGATGCTGCTGCTATTGCTGTGGCCCACGGGGTCGAGAGCTGTGCCATCCTGACCTCCTGAAATTCAGTCCAAACTGGGTCAGGTGGAAAGACACCCTACACACCAGATTTTGAAGACTCAGTACAAAATGTAACGAAAATCTCAACAAATTTCTTACATAAAATGCAGGTGGATATGATTATATTTCGAATATCTTGTATTGCACAAAATATTGACATGGTTTTTTTTTCTTTTTAAAATGTGGCTACTAGAACATTTAAGCTTACACACGTGGCTGGCAGCTGTGACACCTGCGGTTCATGTTTTATTCCTGTTGGACGGGGCTGGTCTGAACCCAAAGGAAGAGCTCTGATTCGGGCTGTGGCAGGGTGTGAGAACGAGAACAAGGATGAGGGTCCTGGGGATCCCGACAGCCAGGGGCCAAGCTCTGTCCTACACACTGTGTAGTTGTGCCCGGCTCTCAGGGCCAACTGCAAGGCCAGTATTAGCACTTTCTGGAGGCTGAAGGTCAAGGTCACACAGAAGGCAGAGTGGCCTGGAGCCGTGGTTTCTGCGCTGGCTTAGGAGGCTCCCAAAGGCCTCTAGTGTCATGGAGACCAGACCCCAACAAGAAGGGTGGGCTCCGAGGGCTGAGACGATGGGTGTCTGCAGGCTCACGTGGCCATGCAGGCCGTCAGGACCTGGCTGTGGCACAGGCCGGAGGTACCGTAGGATTTTGTTAGAGAAAAACAAATGTTTTGTCACTTTTGATTCCCCGTTGGATAGTGACCGTATTCCACAGGTCTGTGTGGAGCACCACAGTGACATTTACACAGAATGGCGCTGCAGGCAAAGCATCCTAGCACATTTCTCGTTTCGATGCTCATAGTAGCTCTGATCTACAGAGAAGCTCGGGCTATTTCAGGAGATAGGAAAGCCAAAGCTAGGGGAGGCCAGGAACACAGCCCAAGGTCAAAGTGCGCAACGGGCAGACAGCGTCACCTCTGCCAGACTCAAGCCACCCGTTCTTTCCCCTCCACCACCCTGAGGTGCTGATCCCCAAAAGCCAGCTGGACGCAGCCCTCTGGGGTGAGACCACACCTCGGGGCCCAGCACTACATCTGGTCCTAACGCCAGGCTGTGAGCCATGTCCCCACTGTACCCCCTTTCAGAGGGAGAGACATAAGAGAATAGGGGCAGCCAAGGGCCTCAATTCCTCAGTGTATTTTTACGTATTTGCTTTTTAATGCACCTATACTTGATGTTGTGTGTGCGTGTGCGTGTGTGTGTGTACACGTGTGTATACATGACTTATTTGTTATAGCCTCAGTTTAAAGTGTTTCTGGCTGGTTCCAATGATCCCAGGCCACAGTGTTTTCTCCCCTTTAAACATACAATGTCAATGCCACGAGAATAGAGGAGACACCCCGGTGGCTGCTTCGCCAGTGCCCTTCCTCCAGCCACAGAGGTCCGTCCTCTTGGGCCCCTTACATCCTGGCTGCTGAGGAGTCAGTTGAGGCTGAGCCACTCTAGCAAGAAGAAGCCACTGGGTCCCCAGAGGACAGTGAGGCTCTGAGACCACCCAAGAGCGAGCTTACCTGGGCCCTGGGTTGATGGGTCCGTTGGTGTGGGGCACAGACAAGATGCTGGCGTGGGGAGCGGAGGACAAGGAAGTCCAGCTGTCGGCTCCCGAGAACACTTGCAGATTATTGCTTGAGCTTTCTATCAAATTCACTTTGGAGAAACGACAACGAGTCAAAATCACGGAACACACAGAACACGTAAAGATGGTGACCAGGAACATCAGCTGTGGCTTACACTGCGAGGCAATGGCTCGTCAGTCCTTCTGAGGGTAGTGGAGCGGAAGGGGCTTGGGCTACTGAAGTAGCACATGCCAGTGTCCAGAGAGGTCCCTTCACAGCCTACCTCCAGCTGACAGAGGCTCCCAGAGGGGGCGTTTTCACTCAGTGACACGGACCTGCCCGACTCCTTCCCCACATTCACTCTCCTTGAGAAAGGGCCAAACAGCTTCTCTCCGGCTGGAGGGCCCCCGGGCCCAGAGAGATTCCTAGGTCCTTATTCTCCTCAGTGCCCCCCAAGCAGCTCTAAAGGTCTCGAGAACAGTGTCCTCTCACAGGAAGGAAGACTGCATGACCTCATGCCTCCGTGGGGCTGAAACACTAGAAGACAGCGGTACCAGGGTGGACAGAGAGTGGCTAGAGCACCAATGGTGGATGCAGAATGGCTCAGTACACCAGGGATGGACAGAGAGTGGCCCAGAACACCAGGGCTGGACAGAGAGTGGCCAGAGCACCAGAGTGGACGCAGAGTGGCCCAGTGTGGAGTAGAAAGTGGCCAGAGCACCAGGAGTGGACAGAGAGTGGCCAGAGCACCAGGGGTGGACGCAGAGTGGCCCAGCGCACCAGGAGTGTGGAGAGGGGAAATGAGGTTGGCCAGAGGATGCAGACATGCAGGACTGTGGAGGAATCAGTCCGGAGCTGAGCGTGCGGCTCGAGGCCTGAGGTCTCTATGGCTGTATGTACTGGACACTTACTAAGAGCATAGATTTCAGGTGCTCTAACCTAAAAAGAAAAAAGGAAACTACATGAGAAAATGGAATTTCGATTTGCTTTACTCTGGAGATCACATTATACACCTTAAATATAAACAGTTTTATGGGGAAAGAAAGAAAAGTGTCTTCTATTTCTTTGAATCGTCATTTGTATAAACATGACTGTAAGAGAGAGGGGGCAGGAAGGGGAAAGGGGAAGAGAAGAGGGTGAGCACAATTCCAAGTGTGCCCCTGGTACTGTGGTCTGAACGTGTCCCACAGAGTCTCTGTGTTAGGAACGTGGTCTCCGCTGCCACCGTGCTGAGAGGTGGGACTGCGGGAACCCTCCTGGGGATGGAGTGGGGCCCCTGCCGTGGGAGTGGGTTCCTGAGGACAGCATCCATCAGCCCCTTCCCCATCTGCAAGATGACATCTGCCTCATCACAACCCAGCAGGAAGACCCCCACCAAATGCCGCTGTCTTGGTCTCGGGTGCCCCAGCCTCCACAGCTGTGAGGAGGTGGGTTCTGTTCTCTACACATGGCTGCACAAAATGGGCCATGCTGCCCCTTGTAGTGAGCTGACACTTGCAGCCTCGTGGAGCTCAGCCCTTACATCTTCCAGCAGCCCCCCCTCAATACCCTGTGCAGAGTCTGTTCCCCAGACGGTGAGGCTCCTGTACCCTCCATGTCCACCTGGAATGGCATGTGTCATCCATCCTTCACTCCTGCCCAGTCCACCGCTGACCTTGTCTATTCAAGACCCTGTCTACTTGAGTAGACCTTGTCTGCTTCAAGGCTCAGTCTAAATGACCACCCCTCCAGGCAGCCTCCTCTGCCTGCCCAGATCCAGTTGGTCTTTTCCTTCCCACAGCACCTTGTTCTCAAGCCCTAAGGTGCCTTGCATCTCCTGGGATCTTGTGAAGATGCAGACTTGGACCAGGAGTCCAGCCTGAGTATCTAGAGTGCTGGCAAGTTCCCAGGTGATGCTGCAGGTCTGGGGACCACGTTAGAGCGCTCGCTGCATTTTGTTATGGTTATTTATCTGTTTGTGAAGCCCTGTGATTCCCCAGGGAGCAGCTGTGTGTTCCTCCCCTCTGTCCCCACCACCTACAGACCCGGGGGCAGAGCAGGTGCTAGGAGAGGCACTGTGTGTGTGGAGCCCGGGAAAGGCTCGGTGACCAGGATCATGAAGACGCACATTCTCCCCTCCAGGCAGCCGCTGTTGGGGTTGACAGCAGTAGCTGCCTGGGGGCACAGGGACAGGCAGCTTTTCCCTCCCCCACACCCCAGAGCCTAATTAGCAGAACCACACACCTGAGGGAGAGTGGTTCCTGTGCATGTACGCAGAAGGGTAGGGAGCTTGCCGGTGTCCTCGGAGCCCCGAGTAATGCTCGCAGCCATGGTGGGTGTGGGGAGCAGGCAGGGGCAAGGGCGTTGCATACTGGTAGTTGGCATTTCCTGCTGTGCACACGCCATCCGGATTGGAAAAGATCCAGCCTCCCACTGGAACAGACAACAGGAAAATACAGGGACTGACACACAGAAATCAGCTGACCAGCTACTTTGCACAGCACGTTTCTTGGGAATGACAGTGACCCTGCCCATGTGGAAATTCCACCACCCCTTCCCCATGAACAGGTGACCTGGTCTCTCTGGAGATAGACAGGTCCCATCAAGGTGTGCAAAACCACTAAATAACACTGCGCTATGGCTATACCAATACAACCCGAATGCAGAAGTTAATGGAAGCTATACAAAATACAACCTGAAAGCTACTTTCTTATAATAAAAGTGTGTCCAGGAGGCCTCCGACTTGTGTCCAGCTCACTGGCCTCCACCAGGGGCTGCTTGGTGAGGTGGCAAGGAAGGAGCAAGGTGCTCGTTTCTGCCGGTGGGAAGGTGAGGCCTTCCGTCACCAACGCGGGACACTCCTGGCACAGAGAAAGAGCGCTGGCCTCGCACACCTTGGCAGCGAGCATTTTGCAGAATATTTTGGAAAACTTCAAAATATTTCATAGAAATCAGCTGGTGGAGATCCTGAACAGAAGATTCTACTGCAGGAGAGCTCCTGGGCAAAGATGGAGACTCAGTGATTCAGGCCCTGAATAAGAAACACATTCTCCCACCAGATCTCAGCTGGCATGACAGACGGTGATTCAGACAAGGCCAGAGCTGCTCCTGAAGAATTGTGACCAAGGACTGTCACCTCAGCAATGTGGAAAAGGACCTTGGAACTAGCACCCACGGCCATTGCTGAAACGCTCGTAAAGTGTAAGTAAGCACATGGCACAGAGTTCGATCATTCCTGACAATCCTGTGTTCTCCCCATGGTTGTGTAAGCATACGACCCAAGGTGTCCCTCCCAGAGAGTGAGGTCAAAGTAGGCCACCCCCCCAAAATATGCTTCTTTAGCATGCTATGAGACGGCCATGCAGTGGGCTGTGACACAGGAGTCCTTCTGCAAGCCGCCCTTTTGGGGTGCAGGTGGACACCGTAGTGGAAGCCCACAGTGAATGCAATGCCCTGGCTCTGAGGCCCCTCCTCAGCCTGTGTGGACTTGCCCTGAGACTCCACAGGACGTCCCATATTCTTCTGCACAATAAGACCACTCTGTTCAGTGCATTTTCTTCCCTCCACCCCACCAAGTGCCTATTTCTGTAGTTCAAATGCTATTTAAGCTTCAACCATCCGGCACTTTCTTTGAGTTTCATTCTTTGCATATGGTTTTCATGTTTCTGTACACTTATAAGTGTGTGTGCTTTTTTCCTGCTGATCTATCTATTGTTAGCTTATTTCATCAACCAATATTACTGAACCTTCAAAGGGAAAATTTAAAACTTCCCTACACTGAATAGTGGACTCAAGATTCAGGCATCCAATGGGCAAAACCAGACAAGACTCCCCACCCCAGGACGCGTAGTTGGCCACATGTAACGCACACACCTTGAGAAGTTTGCCAAGAAGGCCGCCGCACGTGGACTGAGAGAAGGCGTGTCTCTCTGCGTGTGGCACTAACCTCAACAAAAGCCTTGGTAAAGTCACTTTAAAAAGTGCCCTTCTGAAAGCCAGCTCTCTGTGTGGCTGTACTACCATTCTGACATGGAAGGTTTAGGGGAGGGAGGAGGGAAGAATCCACAGCTTTAAAATGGCCACAGGGATCTTGGCAAGCCACCGCAATGCAAATTAAAGGGTGTGTCCACGGGTTAACTTTTCCATGAGTGGCTCCTGGAACCTCCTCGGGCTCCCTCCACCAGGAGCCTCCTCCACCGGCGAGACATGGAGACAGTGGTACCCTGTGGGAACACCCAGCGCTGCCCTCTGACTCCCGGGCATACTTCTCCACCTCCCCTGGGCCTTTCAGCCCAAACACAGACTCTCCTCATCTGTGAGGCCGCAGCTGCTTGAGGCCAGGCAGACAGTAGGGACCAGCTCCAAAATTAGCAACCGCTAGGAACAGGGGAAATCCAGAACTGACCAGAGAGGGTACAGGTGGGAGATAGGCCCAGGACGCCCTTTGGAGAGTCCTTCGCTTCGCTCACATGAAAATTAGAGTTAAGAAAGTCTTCATTCCCATTCTTACCTCCTGCCTAAGACTTGTCTGACCCCTATGCCTGGGAACTCTGGGAAGGCATCACCTTGACTTGAGTGGAAGGGGCCATCAGTGGGGCTCAGTTTGGACGAGGCCTTAAGTGGTCATGAAGGCAAAGGGTCTGAGTGCAGGGGGTCACTCCCAGTGTACCCAGCGCCTCCCACCTGGGCTCCCCAACTCACAGTGAGAGTAGGCCACGTGCTGGCTCTCACAGACAGCCTCCGGAAGGTCTTTGGGGTGGTTTCTGAAACAGCAGTGAAAGTGACAGCTCATTGCTCAAGTCCAGCATGAAGCACAGCCCAAATCCTCTAAGGAGAGCGATACAGGTCTCAGAATAAGAAGACCAGACTCCCCTTTCCTCAAGCTGGTCTCCTCTCCCATTCTCCTTCCTCTACTTGTACAGTGGCTCTGTATCTCAGATCTGCTGTTGTCCCCAGTACCATGTGGACAGCCATCCCTGTTCAGCTCCATCTTACTTTGGGTCATGATTCAGATAATAATGACAACAGCTAAGATCCGTGCAGGTCTTTGGGACACAATTACACATGTGATATGCTAGGTCGACCAACAACCCTGTGAAGGAAATATTGCTATGCCCATTTTGCAGAGTAGATCTATTCGTTGTAGATCTCAGGGAGGTAGACTGACACATGCATGATCAAACAGAGAGGAGCGACGAAACTGGGACTCCAAGTCAGGGCCTCTTCCTTGAAGTTCTGAGACCTCTTTATTATACCATGCTGCTATCATTTG